AAAGTATTCTGCCGTCAGGCTGTACCCTCAACTCCTAGAACATACATTTATTTTTAATTTTACCTTCTCAAGTCTCTGAAATGTATCATGTCTTTGGTGTCATGTCTAAAAGTCAAGCCCCAGGGCATATAGATTTTTCTCCTATTATCTTTCTGATATTTATAACTTGGCATTTTACATTTAGGTCTGTGATCTGTTTGAGTTATAATTTGTAAAGGATGTTAAGACTTACCTCAATTTACATTTTTAATGTGTTCCATTGTCTAATTGTTCTAATAATATGTGTTGAAAATACCTCCCTTACTTAATTTGAATGTCTTTGGTTCTTTGTTAAAGATCAGTTGATGTTATTTTGTTGGTCTGTTTCTGGAACATCTGTTCTGTAGCTGTGTCCATGCTTTCACTAATGTTAGCCTGTCTTCATGACTGCAGCTTTACACCTACATTATGAAACCAAATAGTATCTGATCTGGAATTCCCCTCTGCATGATATGAATAATACATTTTATTACCATTGGTTAATAAAGAAGCTGCTTTGGACCTATTGCAGCCCAGAATACATCAAGGAGGAAATTCTAAACGGATAGAGGAGAAGAAGACAGTAGGCAGTCAGGGAGACAACAGGTAGCTGCCGGAGGAGAAAGATGCCCATGCACCAGTACCGGCAAGCCATGAGCCTCATGGTAAAATATAAAATAATAGAAATGAGTTAATTCCAGATGTAAGAGCTAGCTAGAAATATGCTTAAGCTAATAGGCCAAGCAGTGTTTTAATTAATACAGTTTCTATGTGATTATTTCAGGTATGAGTGGCCAGGAACAAACAAGTAGCTTCTGACTACAAGTATTCATCCTCCAACTTTGCCTTTCTCTTTCAAGAATATGCTTACTATTCTGGATTTTTCTTTTTCATGTAGGTATTAGTCAGCTTATTGAAATACAGGAAACAATGTTCTGGGATTTTGGTTGCATTGACTCTGTAGATCAATTTTGTAAGAGTTCATATCTTGAAAATACTGCCTTCTATTCATAAGCATGGGCTAAACTCCAATTTATTTAGTTATTGTCTTTCTTTCATTATTGACTTAAAGTGTTTTCCTTCTATAGTTCTTCTGCATACTTTGTAAGTTTATGCCTAAGTATTTAATAAATGTTTTATGGTAGTATAATGGAGGACATGAGTCATTGGGGATTCACACATATATTATTAGTATGTATGTGTGTGTGTATATATATATATATACATATATACATGTATATATATATATTTTTTTCCTCTTCCTTTTCTTAATTCACATAATGTTCCTGGTAGAAAACATGTAACAATGTTCTTTTCTTATTTTTAACATTTTTAGTGCTGCATTTATATGAGTCCCATTCTTTTTAAAGTTGTGGAAAGACCTGATATAGACTGAAATGTAGAATCTGTGATGTACCCTCCAACAGACTGCACTTCCTGCCTGATGTCGTTTATTGCCTCCTTCACTTGCTCTGTCTTCTCTGAACAGCCCCCCCCCATTGCTCTGTGGAGAGACTGTGTGCCCTTCTGTGGCAAGGTTTTTGATTACTGTGTCTCATTTGCTGAGGATGTTCTCCCCAGTTCCACAATAGTCTGTTCTCTTACTTCATTTGAGTTCAGTTCAGTCCCATCAGAGTTATTCTACAGTCCTCTGTCTAGAAAAGCTTTTGTTTTTCTGCCCTTACTCTGCTGTAGGTTTTTTTATAGCATTCTCTCTGAAAGGTTGATGATTCTTTGTCTGGAATTCTTGGAAACAAGTGTTTTGGATTATTTTTATTTTAAAATATTTGTAGATATGTTGTGAAATATATTGAGTATGGGATCAGAATCAAAACAGAATTCATTCAAGTTTCAAATCTTCCTTGGACATGTAACCTGAAGATTATTTAACAATATTTTTTGTGCACATGCATTTTGACTGGAACCTGCTATGTGAGATCAGCTGTGGAGTTTTCCACATAGTATCATGTTGGCATTTAAAAAATAAAAGAGTGTGGGAGGACTTTGGGGTTTGGGTATTTTAGAAAAAAATGTCCAACATGCAAGGTATGATATTTTTCTTGTTAGCTTTTCCCGAGACATGTAAGCTTCATGGAGACAGGGTGTCCGTGTGCTCAGAATTGTATCCTAGTTGTCTAGTGGGATGTGGGATAGCATGTAAAAGGTACTAATTTTTTGTTGTTGACATAAGCGAATAAATATTATGATTTTTCTGATTTCACAGTTATTAATAGGCTTTAAAACATTTATATTTAATCTTTGGATTTGGTAGACTATATATACTATGAACCATCTGGATTGGATAAAAATCTTTTACTAAGAATTTGAAATACTAAAATTGGTGTCATCTAGAAGTAGAGTGTTTGCCCTGTACAGACAGTGCTTACACATGATCTACTATGCACTTCTTATGTTAAAGATCAGGAACCTGAGACCAGGTGATGTGAGTAGGTATCAGACCACGCAGCTTGCTAGTCTCAGAGCTCTGATTGTGACTGGTAAACTAGGTGTTAGATGTCATACAACATGTCTGTTTAGTTTCTTAGTCACAGTTATTTTTTAATAATTGATTTTCTTTACTTGTAATTTTGCTATCTTTTCTTCAATTTCATGCTATATTAATTTCTCAGTCTTTTAAATTTCATAGCTCTTGGGTACCACTGGGTGAATAGTGAATATCGGATCTTCTTTTGTTTTCTTTTTTCATAAATCTAAGTTCAATTTTCTAATCAAAATTGTGATTATTATGAAAGTCTAATTTCTTAGTGACCCACCTAATTCTGAACTTGATATATCGTGAATGAATAAGCCTCACGGTAGCTTATTCATCCAGGTGATGCAGTATGGTTTCTTAAGGCAGACAATAGTGAAAAAGAGACTGTCGTATATTCTTTCATTTTCCTCTTCTCTGTCTGCTTATCTTGAAAGTTCCCAAGGGTTGTATGGCTTAATTCTCCTCTAGTAGGCTTGATTAGCAAAGGTATCACTTGCCAAATACTGGGCAGTTCAGATATTTGTGACTCAGCTGTTAATGGTCTTAGAAGCCATCTTCCAAGAAGCCAGTCCATCTCCTGCCACCTAATGCTGCTGCTTTTGGTGAATGTCAAGGAACATGTTCAGGGATGCCCAGCTCGTGAGTAGGCGTGGCTCCAGGGCATCTGGTGACTGCCTTGCACTTCGAACTCAGTGAAATCTTGCCCTCCTGGCAGCTCCTCATTTTGAGATGAGCGTTTCCTTTTGCCTCACATGGCTTTCTCCATAATAAAGGAAAGCTTCCCTTTCTAAAGTTTTAAATGAAATGCTACAAAGTCACTTGTTCTCGTGTGGGGAAGGGCATGACTATGCCTTTCAGAGAGACTTAACTTCTTTCCTAGAAAGCCTTGGAAAGCCTCGTTCTCAGTGTCTGAAAGCTCTTGGAGAACTGGGCAGTATGGAGCTCAGCTTCATGTCTAGGCTCTCCAGCTTGTTTGTGCCCTTCTCAGATGCTTGATCTGTACTTGTTAAATGTACAGATTTGAAGATTTCTAGTGCCATGATGTTTGCTGTAATCAAGGAATTAAGAGTATCATTTATTGAAAGAGTGCTGTGATAGACTAACAGAGATTGTATGCAAGGCACTGGGATCCTGTGTCAGTACCAGGTAGGAAATGTGAGTCAGACTGCATTGTCTGTCACCTAACCTTGACAAAATAACTTGACTGGAAAATATATAATATTGTATGATTGAAAATTGTAGTGTTTTTATTTTTGATCACATTACCTTAATCCTTAATTAATTTTTTAATTGAATGCAGCCCGTTTGCACTTGCAAGTAGAAGAAAGATGCTGTTAGCGAGACTTTGATTCCTCTGTGCTCATGTGTTGTTTTCTATGTAGTTATTGTTTTTATATTTTAAGCTCTTTTTTTAAAAAAGATGGAGCTATTTCTTTATGGGAAGTCTGTAATGTGTTTTCGTACACTTTTTTAAAAAATTCTTACTTTGAAGTTAAATAAAATGGCTTAATTGAGAACCTTGAAATAGAGATGATAGTGAAACTTTAAAATAATGAAAAGGAACACTGATTTAATTACTACTTCAATCAGTAAAAAATATACTTTATAACTATAGTAATATTTAAGAAAAAAGCCACGCAGAAAGAAATATGAATGAGGATTAGTTAGGTGGGAGAAAAAAGTGGTATCCCTTTGTTAGGCATTAAAAAAATTTAATTAACTGCTTGCCCAAACACAACAGTTAAAATGGCAATTACCTCTAAAGTAGCAACAGTGTAATTGCAGCCGCTGTGATCTAAAGCTAGGAAACAAAATGTTAATCTGGAATGAGAAGTTTAAATATGAAATTATGATATACTTGGCTTCCTGTAGTACAGCTGTCAAGCTTGGGCAGCTCGCTGGTCAATAGTGACATTCTATGTGTCAGTGAACAGAGTCTCCTGATACCATAACCCACAGTTCACACATTACTGAAGCTCCAACTGTCGAACATTCAAGTCCCCTGGTATTATTGCAGCTTCCAGACTCTCCTGACTGGCTCATGTTTCATTCTTTGGCAATTTGCCCTAATGATATCCCTCAGGAGCTTTCAGCCTCTCTTCTTTCCATATTTAATCGTGTTGTATTAATCTGAGTGATGTGCAAACTGTGCTGCACAAATTGTCATTTCCTACAAGATTTTCTAAGAGACTCACTAATTTTTTCACTTCAACTTTTATTTATGGTACAAAATTTTACCTTAACTATATTTTCAATTTGAATATAAAATCTGCATATGATTCCCAAGAAACTTCTTTTGCTGTGTGTGTGTTTTTCCGAAGGACCGTAGAGACACAGGCTTTTACATGTGGAGTTGGTAAAAACAGTGTATGCTATGTCACTGTGTCAATTGTCCTATGATGATCACTCATCTCTGATACCTTGAACATGCCTTTTTCTTTAGAGGGTCAGCAGCCCCTCATTATTGTTCCCTCTCTGTGAATTTTAGTTAACCGCCTGTCTGCACGGCTCGGCCGCTCTGCTCTACCCGATGTACTGGCAGCACATATACATCCCCGTGCTTCCTCCACACCTGCTGGACTACTGCTGGTAAGCCTCGCCAGACCCTCAGCCTGGGTCCACCATTAGAGTCTTGTGTAGATTAAAGAGTCCACAGAAACTTGACTCTCAGAGAAGTTTTAAGTATAAAAGAACATTTTTATATGCATTAAAATAGTTCATTCTAAAGATAATAAAAATTTAGATTTGGCAGATGTATTTCTTTAAATTTTGCAAATTTCTTTTGTGGTCATTTAGGAAAATGATATTTAAGTATGAAATACAATTTTATTGTGTGACTCAAAGATTATACAATGGCTTTAGTGTCAGAGAACAATATCCCAGGTATCAGTGTTTATCTGTCAAATCTACCCATAATCCTATTGGCTCCTTGAGGACAAGCTTTCATACCTTTGCCTGTGATAGACACCCTTTTCCTTCACTTCCTCTCTTCGCAGTAGCACCCTGAAAACAGTATTGTGAAAGTGATTGCGTCTAGTATAAGAAATTTTGAGAGTCTGGTCTGAGGCAAAGTGTGCCTAAAGCAACCAAGAAAACCAGCGTGGAAAGTGTGAGAGCAATTGTGAGAACTGGCTGGCTCTAGAAACAGCTCCCAGTGAGCTCAGTAATCTGAGTTCAATCAGGCCACTAGAAACTAGAACAATGGCCAATGGCCTCCTTGTTCTCTCTGACTGGAATTTAGCAAGGCTTCTCTATAGTAAGGCGAGACAAGGAGGAGACTCCAAAGCAGAAGCTTTGATTGTGTCTAGAGAAGCCACTTAAGAACTAGATCCCCAATGCTGTAGTTTTGGTATTCGAGGGTAAAGAATTGTTTTCACCATGCAGGCATAGTTAATTTTCAAGAAATTTGTTGAGATTTCTTTATCTGAATCATGCCTTTGTATAAATTCATGTTTTACACACACACACACACACACACACACACACACACACACACACACAGATACACACACAGATACAGACACACACAGATGCGAACAGACACAGACACCGAAATCATTTTGCATCGATGATTTTCTTATATCAAAGCTAGTATTAGTAAAAAATCAAAGTCCTTTTGAATTAATATATTTATTTAAAATTTTCATTATTTCCTTAAGGATTGTTGATTATTTAAATATGCGATGTTTATGCAAAGGGGTGGTAGGTGTTTTATTAAGTTTCTGGGACTAGCCTTCTTCAGAACAATGCTTATACTTGTCCAGATTGATTACACTGCTCTACTGTGTGTTTCCATATGTAGTAACAGTATTACTCATGCTGTGAAGTAGGTAGGCAGTGACTCGCCACTGCTGTTCTTACCTTGGAGAACTTGAAAGGAAAAATAGTTTTTGTAGCCTGCAGGATGTACTTCAATTATATTATGAAGTGTAATGTGCACAAATCTAAGTATAATGCCAGATCAGTAAGTAAGTTTTTCTGTTATAATTTTAGAGTTTTCCTTTTGACCAGCATATTTAAAATATTTTTCCTACTTCAAGGCAGAGAATGCAGTTTGTTTACGTTGACGTTCTGTAACTAGACATTTATTTTAAAGTTCTCTTTTCTAAAAGCATTATACAATTAAAGTATTTTGAGAACTAATTATATGATTAGAATCACATTTTGCAATATTACTTGCTTCATAATTTTTCTGACCTCTTATAATAACATATAAAATGTTCTGACCTCTTATAATAACATACCTTTCAGTTCAATTCCATGTAGTATTATTATTTCCAGAAATATTTTATTTTACCCTGTTATCGAATCTTTAAGTAAGGAAAGTGTTATCCACTTTAAGTGAGGAACTTCTCTCTCCCCTCCTTTCTTTCTTATTGCTTGCTTGATTCTAATGCTAGAAAGAGTGTTTAGGACAAGTTTCGATGACCTCCATGGCAGTATTCTCTGGTTCAGAGTAGAGCAGTGGTGTCTAAACAAGGAATTGTGTGAAAACTTTCTGAGCCTTAAAGTCATATGATTGGCTCAGTTTTTGTTAAAGGATCTCTATCCATCTATGTGACTTCATCCTATTGTAGAAAATATGATAGATTAAGCAGTATCCTAGGGAAAACCATTCTCCATTTACGTCCTTGATATTAGGATCATACTGATACATGCTGAAGGAAGAAAAATGTAAGTTATTCCCACAACAAAAAACTTACTTTAGTTCCAAATGGGGCCACATTTTTGGGGGGGTTGCATCTATCTTGGTTAACTTTTCAGGGTGTTTGGGATGTTGAAAATCCTGAACGATTCGTGGATCAAGAAAACATTTCTGTTTTGCACCTCGTGTTAGGGATGTGCCATAGACTTGGCGAACCATAATGCCCTCTTGTGACCATAGATGAATAGCACATCTTGTTCCTTTGACACTTTTATTACATTGTTGGTTGGTCCATCCGTTCATCCATCCATCCATCCATATACCTACCACCCACCCTTCCATTATTTAGTGACCACTTTTTGGAAAGCTATACTATGTAATTCAATAAATAAGCTTTACTTATTTATTTCCTGAAATACACACACACACACACACACACACACACACACACACACCTCTGCACACCTTCATGCACACATCCGAGTACAGTATAATTATAATTATATTAATTATAATTGCTATAGCAGAATCACTCAGAGAGATCTGGGTGGACAGCATTCTTGCTCAGTTCAGGAAAGCTGTTAGGTGGAAGTGATAGCATCCGTGTTTTCCTCTTACTCAAGCAAAGCAACAGTACTCGAGTATGGTCCATCTATTGTCAGACACTTCAAAACTGTCTGAACCCATAAGCATGTAGGAGTGAGCATGTGTGGCTCTAAGGCCACCAAGGTTATCATAGATTATTATCTGCTCAAGCAGTGCTTAAGTAAGTCGTTTAGTCTAGATTATGTCTTTGACACTATAACATTAGATTCTAAGAAAAAAATTAAATAAAAAATTATATTCTTTCAGACTACTGTGATTGATGTAATATAGTATATGTTAGGTAAGCTTATTTGCATTAGCTTAAGAAGGAAAAAAAAAGGGTAATTTTGCTTAAAGATTCTACCACAAAGAAGAAATCGTTTAGAGCCGTCTGTACTGTCTTTTCTACATAATATCACAGAGAGTAGGGCTTGAAGACAGCCTTACACATGGATAATGGAGCATCTTTATCACCATTAAACACTTACTGATGTACTAACACCCTCATCAAAGTAGAATAGCTATTCCAGCTGGGATTGCAGAGTGACTTTCCATGAGATTGGCTTATGTCACAATAGCACACGTACAGTTCTGTGGTAAAGAAACACTTATCCATTTGAATCTATAAACACTGTATTCTGTCAAATATCATAATGATTTTAGAAAATTATTTTCTAGTATTTTCAGTTCAAACATCTGTAAGTTTAGGAATTAGCTATAAAAAAATAGACTATACAGCCATGTTCAATGATCCCATGAAAGACTTTTGAGTTGATACATTGTTAAATTTGTCATAGAAGCCTGCTACTATATAATTTTAGTTCTAGCTTAATTTATATGAGCATATTATTTGTATCTCAGATTGTAAGTAGCTTTCAGAAACATTTCAAAGGTTTTTTTTTCTGGATTATTTGTTAGTTTAGACTTTTGCTTTATGAAATGCTGGTTTCCTCAGTGTTTGTCCAATATTTGTAAGATGGGTATACTTCTTAGTTTTACAAGGCTCGAATATTTTGGTTAATACGCTTACTAAAATATTCTTTAGAATTTAAGATACTATGAACTTTTTGGTATTATAAACCTCATTGGTAAAAATATTGTAAACCTCAGAGGATCTGGAAGTTTGCACAGTGTTTTTAAGATACTATCTTTGATGTTTGATGGATGTGGTATATTTAAGATACTGAGAGTTGGCTGGCTGTTTTGTGACAATTGCCCAAAGTTGTGCTTGGAGCCCTGGGAAGTGATCTGCATTTTATGTCTTGTGTGGAATTGTAGAAGGAACCCTGGGACAAGAACTTAGCGATAACCAGCTTTCCCTCTGCCAGCCAGAGTGCAGCAGTCCACACTTGTTTCCTATTTCCTTCTTAAGGCAGAAAATCCATTAGTTCCTAAGGAAATCAAGGCATGTAAGTAGTCAAGTGAAACTTACAGATTATCACACCAATGCCATCCAGATGCTCAGTTGTATAGACATTTTAAAAGAATGAAAAAGAACAAGGCTGCAATAAGCAAAGACAACTAGGAGCGAGAATTAACACAGTAATGAAATCTGCATGTACATAGTAATGAGAAACAACATGACTCATGGTTTCTGGGATTCTGGATATATAGACTATTTTAAGTCATCTTTAACTGACTGTACTTGGATCTTTCTGAGATGCTTTGAGACCACTCAGGGTATCTGTTAGCATTATCTCTCACTGCTTCTCTGCAGTGAAGTTCATATCCGGGAGCCTGAGCAATTCTGTTTAGTGACCGTACTGTTCAGAGCATTATGTAAACCTTCGAGAAACAGGATTTGAGTTAGCAGAAAAGGTTGGTGTTAAACGTAAGAGGTAGCTATGGAAGGATCCCCAAAAATGTGATTCTAAAAAGTAGTTATGTGTTCTCATATTGTTTATTATTTTCATAGGCGTCTGTCTGTCCTCATATTTTTCTGTTGATTATTTTGTTTCAGATTTCAAGATGAATACTTTTCTTCCTGTATTTACTAACAACTATTTCTAACACTTTCCTAATTCATATGTTATATACTAAAATGATTTAGTATCTTTATATTCTGCTGGAGCATAAGGTCCAGGAGGAAATATATCCCAACAACATTGTTTATTACCATATTTAAGTTTCTGTCCAAGGGCCTGGATCTGATATGCTCCAAAAATTGTGGCCTTAAATACTTAATTCAAACCTGTTCTTAGACTTGAAAATTTTTTATTAAAATTCTTATATTAGTGGCAAAGATGGTGCTCATCTTTAATCCTAGTTCTTAGTAGGCAGAGGCAGACAGATGTCTGTGAGTTTGAGGCCAGCGTGGTCTACAAAGTGAGTTCTAGAACAGCCAGGATACTCAGGAAAACCCTGCCTTGAAAAAACAATGATTATACTAGTAAGAATGAAAGTGAAATGAACCTGCAGGGACACGAGGACAGGGGCACAGAGCGGACCTGTTATGCCTACGTCACTGGTTCTAGATAGTGACAACAGGATAGACCGACACAGTAAATAGTGAGTGACTCGTTAGGTACGAAACCACGACATACATTAAAATAACAGATAATCAAATTGAATAGGAGTGTGTATAAAAGAAATTAGATACGTTGGATGATTATTTAGAATATTTTTGCTATCAATTACATGGAAATGATTCAGTGTAACCTACACCTTGATAATCTTCTTAAATAAAACATCTTATTTAGGCATATAACTTTTGATTTAATAATAAATGATTTCAAGTTTTTATATAAGCAAACATTAAATAATAATGGCCTATAAGATGAAATACAACTTTTATATATTGACTGTTTTTGAGTATCTGTAACATCTAATGGTGGAACTGAGCACTAGAAGTTAGTTTTTAAGCATTTGAATTGCTTTTGTGTTGTTTCAGTTTTAATGAACAATATGAATATATACATACATATATATTTTTAATTTAGTGCCCCAATGCCATACCTGATTGGAATACACTCCAGTCTCATAGAGGTGAGTATCTTTCTCAGTAAGGTAGTTATGAAACTGATTTTTTAGAAATAATGGATAAAAGTTTTATTTAAAGCTTACTTGACTAATGCTGAGACCTACTAGATTGTCATAATGGATGTATGTAGGGGTCATTTTCAGAAGGTGCCAATGAAATCCATTCACTTTGTGCAGTCTACTTGTTTGCCCTGTGGTGGCGTGAAACCTGTGGAAATGGTTGTATTTCAAACCATGTGGTCAGTTTTCAATACCAAAATTGTTCCCCGATGAACCACTGAGTTTTTGCAACTTGAGATTTTTTGTATTTCACTTTTAGTACAATATTTTGTAATTAAACTTTATGTGCTAATGAGTCACCAAGTCAGTTTTCTTTTACACGACTTCATTATTTCCAGTTTGTCAGCTGATTTGCCAAAATGTGAGTTTAACATACTAGTGATACAGAGGCAGGCAGATCTCTGTGAGTTCGAGACCAGCCTGGTCTACAAGAGCTAGTTCCAGGACAGGCTTCAAAACCACAGAGAAACCCTGTCTCGAAAAACCAAAAAAAAAAAAAAAAAAAAACCAAAAAAAAAAAACATACTAGTGATAAACTTATTAAATAGAGTGTGGTAGGTCATTCCTGTGGGGCTAGTCCTTAAGAGACTAAGAAAGGAGTCCCACAGTGCTAGGCAGCCAGGACTTCCATGCCAAGTAGAACTAAAGAGAAGATCAGGTGTAGACTTTTCTAAGCTCAAAGTTTCTGTCCTGCTGTTAGAGATGAATTTAGTAGTTATTTTTCTTTTTATACTGTTATCACATTTCAAAATGATTTTTGTTGCTTCCTTTATCCCTAAACTGAAACTTCTTAAACTTTAAACACTTGGGTTGCAGTCTTTGAGATTCGCAGAAAGCATGTCATGTGTGATTGGCATGTGTGTGCATTGGTGTATACCTTTAATCTCAGCACCCAGGAGGCAGAGGTAGACTGATCTCAGTGAGTTGGAGGCCAGCCAGGTCTACAAAACAAGTTTCAGGAAAGCTAGTGCTATAAAGAGAAACCCTGTCTCGAAAAGCTAAATTCAAAACCAAAACAAACAAAAACCAAAAAGAAAGGAAGGAAGGAAGGAAGGAAGGAAGGGGAAAAGGGAAAGGAAAAAAGGAAAAGAAAACGACATATAAATTACCAAAAGGCTAAAACATGAGATTTGAGCCAACTGAGTGGTGGTGTGCTTGCTGATGTCCGTTTCAAGCATACACATTTGTCTTTTGCTGATTGTACAGAGTAACGTAAACAATGCAGCACTGTTGCTAATGAACACACTGATGAACTGGGTGTGATTTTCCTGCTAGTTCCAACACGTCTTTCCTATGATTAGAGAAGATTCTTACTAAGAGAGAGTCCTATCCCCGAGAGAGCTTTAATTGTACATGTTCTCAAGTTTGGGGCTCCCCCCCCTTTTTTGCAAAATTCTGGGACAATAGCAAAAATTCTTTTGTTCCATTATTACTGAAGTATAGATTTTAATGCATTTTAGTAGGTTTAACACGTTTTTAATATTGAAGTCTCAGTGGGATAAATTTGTGACTCCTTCTATTTTATGAATTTTAAGAAACTATTATAAGCCAAGGATACAATGTATGAAATGAGGCATGAGCATATAGATATTTACTCTGTGATTAGATCAGGAAGTAGATAACCTGAATTTCGTAGATTGACTTTCATGAAATGATTTGTTTGTATTTTTTTTCTTAAAAGTAACAGTTTGATTTTCATGACTTCCGTAACTAAATATATTAGTATCACACAGAATTTTATAATGTATTTACTTATAGAGATGAAAATAATTTAAAATTGAAGAGAGTACCTAGTAGTTTTACATTAATTTTGGGTGTGTAGAATGTTTCTACAATCTTTATTTTTATTTATTTATTTGAAAAAAAAATTTCTGCCTCCTCCCAGCCTCCCATTCTACAATCTTTAAAATGAATAAATTATGCCTTTTCAAATTATGATGATTGAGGAAGTACATTAGCTATATCATTTAATTTATCACATAACTTATTAACGACTTACAAAGATATTTTAAATTTAAAATAATTCTTAGAAAATTTATAATTAAATGGTCTTTTGCCATACCACCCTGAAGGCGCCTGATCTCGTCTGATCTCAGAAGCTAAGCAGGGTCGGGCCTGGTTAGTACTTGGTTGGAAGACTGCCTGGGAATACTGGGTGCTGTAGCCAAAAAAAAAAAAAAAAAAAAAATTAAATGATTTTCTCCCTCTATCTTTTCTGGAAGCAGATTTTTTACTTTTTGAAAATAATGGCCATTCTAGCTTTCAGTGGCCACTTGGATTAGAGTGTGGGAAGTGTGCACGCCTTCAGTGATGTGCTTGTTTGTTAGCCTGCTCTCAGTTTGTAGCCAGGGAGGAGAAGGTACGATTGCGCTGCCTTTTAACCAGGTGCATAGCATGTAAACTACAGTAAGATGATAATTCATTCTTCATTATGTCACTATCAAACAGTTTTAAATTAATATTTTTATTTTTTCATTTTATTTATAATATATGTTTCAATGGGAATTTAGACCTTCCCATAGTTAATATACGAGACAGCGCTGAGTAACTTTTTGCCTTTGTCTAGCAATTGCATCTATTTTTGGAAAATAATAAAGAAGACCTATTGTCCTTTTGGTCATTACAGTCTCAGCTAATATTACTAATTATATAAAATTCTCCAAGTTCTAAAGCATGAAATGATTTGTTCAAATACTTTCAAATAAGAACTATTTGCCACCAAGATGTTTTTGATGACATTAGAACAAAAGACTGAAGGCGTAAGTCACAAACAATGCCACACCAATTCGGGGTTATGATTATTAGGGTGGTATTTATTTAAAGGGGAAAAAAACTTACAGTTCACTGTCCCAGGCAACAGCCCTCTACGCAACCAGGAAAGGAGTCTAGTCGCAGGCGGAGCAGGAAGTGAAGAGAGAGAGAAGAGGGAAGTGGCCGCTGTTTTAAAGGGAGAGAAACCACGCCCCAGTGGGCTGGTACCTCAGCGGTGATAGGCTGGAGGAGTGGGAGGACCTCCCGCAACAAAAGACTGAATAGTATTAAAATGATATGTAACTTTGAAACTTTCTTTCACTTGTTTTTATGTAATTGTGAGTAAAGAATGATGAAAACATGTCTTTTCAAAGAAGAAATTTATTTCTGAAATAAGGAAAGCCAGTTTTATTTTCCCAGCCTTCAGGGTGAAATTAGTGCTGCCTAATGTGTAACTGAACTTGGAAGCTGCAGACACAAGGGTGAACTTGTTTGTTTTCATCTGTACCAGACTCTGAATTGCAATGTTGTTCCCCTTTCGTAAGGTTCTGTGCTGGCTGCCCTGAGCCATTCCAGTACATTAGTGAGCATACTATACATAGCCGCAGTGTGTACAGGGGTGAGAGACACACACTCAGCACACCCCATAAACATATGAGATCTAAAAATATAAGACTGAGGAAAAGTTCTGTTTCTGACTTGCATGCCTCGGTCAGGGAGTCACAGCTAACACTTGATTTGGACAGAAGAAATAGAGTGCTAATATCAGCATTTTCAGATAGTTAAGTTGTAACCTACTTCCCCTTTTGCTTATATAGATTTATTCTATTTCAGTTTCAGTTTATTTATTAATAATGAACAGAATTTTTTAACTTTTATTGAGTGGTCCCTTGAACAAAATTTAATATTCAGGCAATATCTGCCTTAAGTGAAAAGCAATTCAAAAGGTCTACATATCATTTTAATACTATTCAGTCTTTTGTTCTAATGTCATCAAAAACATCTTGGTGGCAAATAGTTCTTATTTGAAAGTATTTGAACAAATCATTTCCCATTGGAAAAAATGAGGTTTAGTCTTCTGAATTATATCAATTTTTCCAGCATGAGAACATCACAGAAAGTTAAATGCTCATCATATTATGACATACTTTTTCTAAGCAAATAGCACATATGTTTTGCTTATAAATTGTTATTAAAATTATAGATAATACGCATGATGACCGAGTTATGCATTTAGACCTTTTAAACATCTGCATGAAAAGGAAAGGAAATGACCTTAATTTTAGACGTCTCTTTAGAATGTCATTTATATCACCAGAATGATTTCTTGATAATAACTTAGAGGTAGCATCTTTTAATTCTGATTTTTTTTCATTGGAATATTTTTTTCCAAGACGGATTTTAGATTCAGTATCCCTTGAAAATATACAGTCTATGTTTTAGATTTTTAAACCCATAGAAATTCTTCATCCCCAGTCATCATTTCTGTAGGAAATTTAACATTTATCTAAATACTCAAAAAATTTGAAATCCAAAATGGATCAGGGACACTTTAATCGAATCAACTTGTAAGAAAATAATTGGTTAAACTAGTTTAAAATTGAAACATTTAGCCAGTGGAGCTTGCCTTTAATCACAACATTTGGGAGGCAGAGACAGGAGGATCTCTGTGAGTTCAAGATTGGCCTGGCCTACATCATATTCCAAGACAGCCAAAGATACTTAGAGAGACCTCCCCCTTTTCAGAACTATACTGATGCACTTAACTAAATGTGCTGCACCAAAATTACCACCTTCCGGTTCTGCCAGTTGGCCTGTATGAAGGGGAATTCTGGATTTCGTGGCTGGATTTCATTGCTTGAGCACATCATTACCCTGAGGAATGTTGCCACAGTAGAGTTCGGTGTTTTAAGTAGGTATGTGAAACAAAATAAACTATATTCTCTCTCAGCTATGACAATTTTGATACAATTTTTATAACTTTCCTATTTGTAAACCTATTGAGATGCCATTTTACTAAATCTCCAACAACATGGAAAGATAAATCAATCTGATGAATTGTTAAATTTTGTCTTTTTTTTTGGAGCCAGGGTTTCTTTGTGTAGCACCGCCTGTCTTAGAACTCACTATCTATAGACCGGGATGGCCTCTGCCTCCCAATGCTGGCATTATAAATGTTGCTCTTTACATACGAATTCACATGAGGACATAATTGGCAAATTACATATTAGTAGTCTCTGCATCATCTTCTCATTTCACTTCCAGTCCTGCTCATGGATGCACATTGGTATGGCCATATAGGGACATTTGTTTACATAAAATGTACTTCAGTACTATAGTCATTATTATTAGTTTATTTCTCTCGCCAATGTATTCATGCTAAAACGAGTTTGACCCTGGAAACAGTTTTCCATAAGTTTGACATTGAAATGATAAAAGCTACAGCTTTTATATTTTTATGCACCTCTTCTTATTTTATAAGTGTTATGCTAAATGTTTGGCAGCCATTTTAATTGATATTAGATGAGGAAATTTTCTACTCCAAGCATTCTAATCAAATAATTTTGGATGAATTATAGTTAAATTTCCTTTCTCAGAAAGCAAAGTTGTTTATATTATTTTATAATATTGAATTTCCCTCTTTAATTTTTCCAAGCTGCACTAAGATAATTTTTTGTTTCCAAACGCATCATAAATTTGTACAAAAAATATAATGAGATCTTTTCATAATTGTGTTTTTTAAACAGAAAGTGAAAAATAAATCATTGGAAGATGTTGTTGTGTTAAATGTTGACACAAACACTTTAGAATCACCATTTAATGACTTGAGCAACCTACCCAGTGATGTGGTAAGTCCAAGGGATGTCTGTGGTGAGCAAGAATGTTTGTTGGTGGACCCTCAAGTTACTGTTTTCCACTTTGTATCTGAGCCTTTAAAGTCGGTCTATACAAGGGTTTTAAGAAGAACCTATGTAGATTCTATTTTTAATATTTTACCTTTTGGCAGTTGAGATTTTAAATAGAATGCCGTGTTCCTTATTGTAAAAACGGGATCATAATTAAAAAGCTAGATGCATTCATTACGCAGAGTTTCTTTAACATCGAGTCCCTTCATCTCGTCTTAATCATTGTATTACAAAGTAGGCATTCTGTCTGCCTGGTGGCATGTCTTGCAAAAGAACGAGAGAGTTTTTGAAGGCAAGAAGAAGAAGGGGCCAATTATCGGCTTTTGCTTCCCTGCCACCTGCCAGCGCTTTTCCTTTTAATTAATGATCTGATGGCACTGGTCAATATAATAAGAAATGCTTGTACAGTTGGGGTCAGAGAATTCTGGCTTTGATCTCTCTCAACTTTCTGAAACATTTATTTGTTTTCTCTAAATTATTTCAGTTTTATTTTAATCTTTCCTGTCCTGCTGAGGGCCACAAGAATGAAAACCTACAGTTTGTCATCTCCTTTGGCAGAGCAAAGAATGCTTACTTCGAATTCTATTTGTAAATTAAACTGCAAATCCAGTTTGTCATAAAAGACATCTGATCCTTTTGAAATGATGAAAACTGTCTTTTGTCTGTAAAGCTGATAAATTAAGTGCTGGTTCTCTTCAGGTCTTTGATCTTGTGGATGGTGTGTGTGTGTGTGTGTGTGTGTGTTTTAATGGGATATATTCTGTATTTCTTATTAAATAATCTATGTAAAATTGCCGTTGTTGGCTTTTGTGTTCTTTAATAAAGGGCAAAATTGCAAACTTGTGCTATTTCTGTATATATATTTGATGACTATTTATATGTCTTTATAACATAGTTTTAAGTTTAAAATATCTCCCTTCTTTAAAAGAAGCCCTCAAAGTGTTCATTCTTCTCAACATTATTAAAATTTGAGAATTGAAAGTAAACTTTGCAATAAATTTTTCTCTATTTTCTTCATTATGAAGGAGTTTTAGAAGGTGAATTTAAAACTCTCAAGTTTAAATAATACATTAGTACTAGCCTAGATTGTTCCTATGGATAATGATAGGAAAATGGGAATTTAATATCAAAGCCAAAATGCTTACGCTTATCAATAACCAGCCCAGTCCCTGACCTTTAAGCTCATTAGACTGAGCTGTGTATTCTCTGCAGTAAAACTGTGAACCATCCAGACTCAGACCAGCCGAAACTGTTTTTCTCTCAGCTTAATGCAGCCGGGGGCTTCGTCATGAATTCTGCAGAGACTGGACTGCTATTAAGGATATACTATGTATCTAGAAATCCATCCAGGTAGTTTTCAATGGGTGGAGAAATCCTTCCGAAAACAGAATCCTGCTTTTCAAAACATTTTAATTATGGCATACACATTTCCTACTGTTATGTTTACTAAAAAGAAGACTGAGAGGAACTCTGCCTTTCTCTGGATTGAGCCTTTGAAGTCTCAGCATAGTGGGAATCCCTTTTAACTGAGAAGTACTTTGCTTGTAGATTTTTTTTTTTGTAATTAAGATTTAAATGTATAGGAATGCTAAACGACGTTCACAGATGTACGGATACTCATAGAGGTTACAAAAGAAGCGGTGTGCTCTGATTTAGCACTACATTCAGCTAACCGCCATTGTGCGCATGTTGGAAAAGGAGCATCGGCAGCTAGTGCAGGCAGATTGCGAAGGTGCTGCCATTTGAAGGCCACAGACTTGCTGACAGCTGAAGACTCAGCGAGTAAAAGCTCTGAGATAGAGCAAGGGCTGTGTTGAAAATAAGAGGTCTTTTCAAGTCGTGGTGATTTTCTAAAATATTTTAGACGATTGTTCATCTCATCTTTAATAAAGTTCTCATTTTCATCAGTTTTTCAAGGCTGCCCTTTAGAGCGCTACACAGTTTAAAATGGCCAATGTTTTAAATAAGATCTGATAAAATCCTGAATGATAACTGAATTTTTGTGTGTGATTTACATTAATACATATTTTTGAAGCTTGAAAGGTATCACTATTGGCATTGTTTGTTTAGTTAGTAAGTTAACTGAGATTTAAAAGGAGGCCCTTTTGAAAGCATCCCCCAAAGCATTTAAATTATGCTCCCAGGCCGGGTGACTGTGTGTGCATGTGCACTCTATTACTGTGTCCCATTGACCAGTGGCCGCGGCTGCTCAGAGGTCAGTGGTCACAGTTGTCCTGAATTACTAGCTCTTTTTTCCTGTGGACCCTCTGGTGCGTTGCATGCTGTAATCTTCTTAATGGCTTCATTCCAATATTCACACATAATATTTTAGATTTATTGACTGTTAGAAATACTACCACGCCAGTAGCACTTCCGCTGCTCTTAAGGTATTTAAAAATTGGAAAAATAAATCAGGGCATGCCTCAGGAATGCTTTGTTTTCCTTTTGGGAGGGAAAAAAACCACCTTTCTTCCTGTTTTCTGACAGAAACACTTGGCTTTTGATTTCATCATTTCACTGTAGATTTGGATCATCAAAACCAAACAAAATCTAGATGTTTTATTGGGAATGATTTTAAGGGAATTATTTCATAAAAAAAAACTTTTGAAGACAGTGACACATTGAGACTCTTTTACAGCTTGTATATGGAAGTATTGTGATTTTGTTTTAGTAATATGCCATGTAGACATTTTCAAACATATGTAGTTGGAATATTTTAAATAAAAGAGTAAACTTTAGGGCCAAATAACCATCAATCAAAGTTAGTGTTCTGGTGGTGTGTTTATGAGAACGGGAAGGCAAGTTCAATTATATATAACTGGGTAAATTTCAGATGAGTTCATTTAATTTCAGAAAATGAACTATTGAAATCCCTCATTCCATATATTTATAGACAGACTTAGTTTAATTATGTAGCAACTTAAAACTTTGTATTTCTTACTTTTACCACTCATTTTGATTTTTGTCATTATTAATATTTTATAATAATTTGGGAAATGTTACTATTCATAAAGTAAGAAGGTAACCTATTTACTTGCTGGAAAATTAGGCTAATAATCAGAATTATAGTATGACTTAGGAAGTATGTTCTCATAAGAATGTTAAGACCAGCAATTGTAAACCAAGTCTTACAGATGAGAGCTGCTGAGAGTTGACTGATGTCTGACAAAGCTACTTGTATTAGAATATTCATTACAACAGGCAAGTGGTCTTTGCATAACCATCTTTTGATAATTCTTATTTATTAAAGAACATGCTCTTATTTTGGTAGACAGACGGAGGCACAGGAAGTATACTGTCGATTAGCTAGAGCTGTAGTGAATAAGGCTGGTCTTTGTTTTTCTGCCTCGCAGGAAGTGGGATACACATTCATGAGTAATGGGTAGACATAGCTACAGTTTCTTTCTCAAGCAGCTTGTAATTCTTGTCTTATTAGAGGAATAGCAACATGTTATATTTGATTTAAATTTTTTCAGTTTTTAAAGATATTTTTATCTAGCAAATACTCTTGTTGGAAAATAATTGTTTCGTATGATAAAAGTTAGTGAAAGTGTCTATCACCTTTACATGTTATTCTGTGTAATGACCAGTATAGTTGAGTATAGTTGTCAGACATCCACTGTGCACCTTTACATGATTGCATAGGGGCACGCTGTGATAGAATAGCTAGGTTTTGGTATAAAATCGTGTAAATTCTAAAGTATTAGGAAACACTTTTTATAAATGTTCTTTTGTAAACTCTTACACTTGTTACACTGACATTTTAAAATATCCTTTGAAGGAATATGCTAATGATTTAATTGTGATATGAAGGGGAAAATCACCAAACTCACGAGGAACCTAAAGAACTAGAGAAAACTTCCAAAACACAAACTTGAAATTAAAATTTTATTTATTTATTTATTGATTGATTGATTGATTGATTGATTTTTCGAGACAGGGTTTCTCCGTAGCTTTTGGTTCCTGTCCTGGAACTAGCTCTTGTAGACCAGGCTGGCCTCGAACTCACAGAGAACCGCCTGCCTCTGCCTCCCGAGTGCTGGGATTAAATTTTAAGAGAGTTTATTTGGAAATTAGTTTAGAAAAGGATTTTAAAATTAATTTAAAATTATAAAGTATATAAACTAATCTCTTGTGGCCATGGATTTTATCAATAAATGTTTAATTGACTGACTCGATCTTCTAATTTAACGAGAAGGCTTTAGCGAGTTAAATGTCAGAGTTATAGGAAGATAAGGCCCGGAGACTATGATTTCTGTTCCAGGCATGTCCCAGCTCTGCTGTGATCCTGATGGTGTGAATGGTCAGGGAAGCCTCCAGCAAACGCCTGCGATGGTCCATGCTGTAAATCTTCAAATTACAGCGTGGCATGGAGAACATTTAATGTTTAGAACAGACTTGAGGAACCGAATCTGGTTTCAGTTTTTCCTTGAAGACGTCTACACATGCCCATCCTCATCTGGCATCTGTTCTCCAAACCTCTGCCTCGCCAGGCTCTATGGTGTGCTTTGGGAGTAGTAAGCACTGGACGAGGGAGTGCAGATGAGAAAGAGTTACACCGTTTAAATACCTTGACACAGAAGTTTGCTTTTACAAATCTCTGTGTAGTTATCATCCAGTATATTATACAAGGATGCTTTTATTGGATTCTCATAATGGAAAAACAAAAAAAACCCAGAACATTCTATACTGTTTTCCTACAATATAACATTTTATTTCCTGCCTGACTGAAAAAGCCCTTGCTGTTATGGAATTCTAATTGTCTGTGAAAACTCATTGTCTTTTTAAATGATTATTTTCATAGATGTGATCATTTCTAAAGTAAATTTTTTGTTGGCTATTACAGATTTTACTATTTTCCTACTTTCTCTCATGGTATATTTTCAGTATACAAGACTTAGATATGAAGAAAGGGAAAAGAAAATACACCCCAACTTTAGATG